TGAAGACGAGGATGCTGATGATGCTGATGCTGATGCTGCTGATGCTGATGATGATGGCGATGCTGATGCTGCTGCTGATGATGATGTTGCTGATGAGGATGATGATGCTGATGATGATGATGATGATGATACGGATGAGGATAACGACTACGACGATGACGATGATGATGCTGATGCTGATGCTGATGATGTTGAGGACGATGACGATGTTGATGATTATGATGCTGATGAGGATCATGCTAACCACGATGACGACGATGATGATGATGACGACGATGCTGATGATGATGATGCTGATGATGTTGATGATGCTGAGGATTCTGATGATGTTGATGAGGATGGGGATGATGATTCTGATGCTGATGCTGATGCTGATGCTGATGATGATGATGACGATGATGCTACGAATGATGATGATGATGATGATGATGATGATGATGATGATGATGATGGTAATGCTGATGATGATGATGATGATGATGATGATGATGATGATGCTGATGCTGATGCTGATGCTGATGATGATGATGATGATGCTGATGATGATGATGATGATGCTGATGGTGATGATGATTGTGATGGTGGTGGTGGTGGTGGTGGTGGCGATTCTGCGGCTGCTGATGCTGCCAATGATGATGATGATGCTGATGGTGATGTTGATGACGATGACGACGACCATTACGATGACGATGCTGATGAGGATGAGGGTGGTGCTGATGATGATAGTGGTGCTGCTGCTTGTGACCACGACGACGACGATCATGACGATGATGATGATGATGCTGATGACGACGATGATGACTATGATGATGATGCTGATGATGAGGATGATGAGGATGCTGATGATGATGATGATGATGAGGACGAGGATGAGGATGATGAAGAGGATGATGATGATGATGATGATGATGATGATGATGATGATGATGATGGTGGTGCTGGTGGTGGTGGTGGCGATTCTTCGGGGTCTGCCGCTGCTGGTGATGATGTTGCTGATGCTGATGCTGCTGCTGATGATGATGATGATGATGATGATGATGATGGCGAGCATGATGATGATGATGCTGATGATGATGGTGATGATGCTGATGATGCTGCTGCTGATGATGATGATGATGCTGATGCTGATGATGGCGATGCTGGTGATGATGATGATGATGCTGATGCTGCTGCTGATGATGATGATGATGATCATGATGATGATGATGATGATGATGATGATGATGATGATGATGATGATGATGATGATGATGATGATGATGATGATGATGATGATGATGATGATGATGATGCTGATGATGATGATGATGATGATGATGCTGATGATGATGATGATGATGATGATGATGATGATGATGAGGATGATGATGATGATGATGATGATGATGATGATGATGATGATGATGATGATGATTTGGAGGAGGATGAGGATGAGGATGAGGATAAGGATGGGGAGGCTGATGAGGAGGAGGGTGAGGCGGAAGAGGCGTGAAAGGCAAGGAGGCAATATGGAGGAGTTGAACCAGTCGGGAGCATAGCAGGTCAGCACACGGGGCAGCATGTTCGCAGCAATTTTTGCTCAGGCGCGCGCCCAACTCTTAGCGACTTGCCGGAAGAGCTGCTGAGCGGTCAACACCAGCCACAAGGATGGGAGCGTCAGGATGCAAAGCTCTTGGTTCGCGCCGAGTCATAGAGGAAGACACAAGTGCATACGCATACAGTTTCGTAGCTCAGCTCCGCGCGGAGCTCCGAAAGTTGATGCTTATGTAGCTTCTCCCTTCGCTGAGAGGCTCGCCCAGAACCCAGGGTATGCAAGAGTTCTTTGCGTTACAGGCTCATGCCGAAGGCCAGCCCAGGATGCGGGCGACAGCATTTATGGACCACACGTGGCGACACTCTTTCTCTTTCCTCTGCCTCCACTCCCTTTCTTGGCTCTGTTATTCGATTCGCCTCATCTTCCAGTCCCGGCCTCCCGCGCTGCACAGAGTGACCAATGCCTATTCGATTTGGTGGTTGCGCCTCTCCTTATCTCTCCTTTCTTCCTCTCCGCCCTCCCCAAAACTGTAAACCAGGCGAAAAAACCCAGCCATTTGCAGTTGTGAATAACGCTGATGTGAGTATCCTCTTCGGTGGAGCTCTTTTGAGGGCCACGAAAAGTGTGAGATTTGTGCCGAAATGGGTGCGGTGCCGCCGTGCGAACGCAGACGTTGGGGCCTCGGTGGAGCTACGAACTTGCGAACGGTGTGCCGAAGCGGTGCCGCCATGCGAACACTGCCAGTTGCGCCTTCGGTGGAGCTCCCCATGGGGCCACGAAGCGTGTGAGGGGTGTGCCGACATGGGCGGAGGGACCACATGCGGGCGCTGCCGCTGGGGCCGTCGGTGGAAACTCTCTATGGGGCCACGAAGCGTGTGAGGGTGTGCCAGAATCGTCCCGGGGACGCATGCGTACCCCCCTCACCCTGGGGCCGGAGTTGGAGCTCCCTATGGGGCCGCGAAGCGT